GATTTGACATCCATTTCATTAGTAATTTCTATTCAAACTATATTTAATAGCATTTTTTATTTATACATTTAATTTTTAAAATTAAAGTAATTTCGATTATATTTCACAAATGCTTACATACATGAATAATATAATTATAATCAAAATATAATAGCAATTTTTAATAAACTTTAGCTTTAAGATAATTTAAATTTGGTTTTTACCTAATATTTTGCCCATAAGTTAAGTCTGATTTCTAATTAAAAATGAAACCATTTTTGTTAATTAAATTAAAAATGTTTTAATTATATTAATTAATTCAAGATTTTGTTCATCAATTTTTTAACAACATACTTGAATATAAAGACTTATAAAAAAATTATATTGAAATTAAATATTTTTATAACATATTTTGTTTTTTTTAAACAGTATTTGTAACTAAAATTTTTCATGTACATTGATACAAATTACCTTAATTGATTTAAATAGTGTTTAAAAATACTTATCATCAAACAATTGCTTGCATTCAGTGATATAGGAATTAGTAAATACAGTTAAACCTCCCCATTTGTATCGGGACACAAATGTTTGTTCGAGTACTAGAAAGTTGGAGTTAGGGAAAAATTTTTGAATTATTTACAAAAAAGTTGCAGTGTTATTGACAATAACTTATTACAAATAATTATAGTAATTAACTAGTAATTTTAATTAAAATTTAATATAAACATCAATGTATCAGATCATTTGTTCAGCACAAAACTTATCAAGAACAAAAAACTTTTACCAAAATACAATATAAAACTTTTAACTCAATGCAATTCAATGAACAATACGATAAAGGGGGGCAAATAATAGGGCATTGATTATACGTAATATATTTACACAACACATGCTATGGAAGCGTAACTTAATCTATGAATAATAACAACAACACAAACAGTAATCGCATTGAAAACGACTCAATACTGAACAGTATATTCAGTGATGAAATGTTTTTGTCGTCTATTTTGAAACAACAAATATTTGACACAACCGTTGGATCAGTTCCGGTGATCATCACGTGATCAACAGCACTGACCGATGACTCGGACAAAGTCGACGCCCGTAGCGAAGAGGCCGGAGCCGAGCGGCGGCCACAGCGACGACAACCGCACCGGCGATGAAGACAATGACGACGATATCAGTCTCATCGACGACAGCGACATCGTTACCATCGATGACGGATCCGATTGCGAACTCATACCATCGCTGCCATCGCTGATGAGTAGTAGTAGTAGTAGTGGTCGTCGTTGTCGGCCGTCGGCGAAGAAGCGCCGAAAGAGCCGCAAAAGTGACCGCAAATACGATTTCGTTGTCCGACAAGAGTTTGAGCGCTTCCTGACGGACGCCAACTTCTTCCTCACCATTCATTATCGACCGCGAAGTCTGTGTCTAACCAATCGATTGTCGCCACCAATTGATCGCTCATTTATTAACACCTGTTTTGTGTGTCTATTATAGCCAATGAAGAGACTGTTGACGAGCCGATGCCCTCCACCACAACCACAACCATTACTGTTGTGGACACTGAAGACACCACTCACTGCCGTTTGGGTTCATTCAGTATTGAAGTGTTGCCCGAAGACATCACATCCGTTGGTGACAGTGACAGCACCGATGGTGGTGTGTGTCTGCCATTGGAAATCGACTCAATAAACCGCCAATCGGTGTACGTATACGTAGAGCACCAGCTGTTCCGGTCGTGTCTGTACTACGAGTGCACCGATTCGATGACCGGACGGCACGCGTCCGTCTCATTCGTGTCGCACAACGCGGCCAAAGAGATTGGCGCTGATTTTGTCCACTCTTTGGGCGCCAATCAGTTCCGGTTGACGAGCGATCTGTCGCCCGACGCGTCCGGCCAGCGCTTCGTTGTCGATGTGTGGCTCCAGAGGTCGGCTCTCCGGCACCTGTCCTATCACTCGCAGGTATTCATGAAACCCAATCACGAGGCGCTGCATGTGATGAACCATTTCTACGATTACCCCAAAGCCATTGATGTGAATGACGGCAACAAAGGTATTATCTATTGTCTAGTATTGTCTCTCTTGATGTCTAATCTCTTGATTCAATTGTCTGGAAACAGAGATAACTAAAGAGAGCGTTGAAGAGCTGTACGCGAGGATTAAAGCCAAACACAACGAGACTAAGGATCAGCTCCAGACGTATAACGTTCAGCACCGGTTCCTCTATCCAACACTTAGACCCTATCAGTGCGAAGCCGTGAGTATTTGGTCTCCATTTGACGGATCAGTTGATATTTATCACCATTTTTAAGGTCCAATGGATGTTAAATCGGGAACACATTGATACGATTGGATCGCATCAGCACTTATACGAAACTGTGGTCACAATAGACGGCACATGCCTTGAATACAACCGATATATGGGTTACTTTATTTCGGGCAAAAGTGAGGCCCGAAATTACATTTACGGCGTCTCGCAGTCGGGAATACTGGCCGATGAGATGGGTTTGGGAAAGACTATAGAAGTGCTGTCATGTATACTAAGCAATCCCAGGCCACAGGCTTCAGGTGACCCGTCGTCGACCGACACTTACCACGAATACAACGCACCCGAACTCATCGACTGGGACTCCAACGGACAGACAGAGGGTTAGTGTTGAATAAATGCTGATTTTTCAGTTAATCCGATATTTATTTAACCATTTTTTGCGGCAAATTATTTTTCTATAGAGTGTTTTGCGTGCGTTTGCGGTCTTATATCCAACATAAGGGCGTATCGGCGCCGCAAACTTATTATCTTCGACACCATCACTGATGAGGGAACCGATCACTTCCAGTGCGACGCTCACAAGAGAGATGACTACAAGAGCGATGATAACGATGGTAACAATGATGACAATAGCGATACAGAAGTGGACGAAGAGTTTACCGACGAATGGAAGAACAACTTCTTGCTCGTAGAGGACATCCGCCGATACCGGCGGCGCTCAAAGAAGTTGGCGAAGAAGTTGGCCGAAAAAATGCTGGTCCGGTGCCGCGGGTGCGGCTCATATCAACACGCGGTGTGCGTCAACTATAAGGTGGAGACCCGTCGGCCGTACTATTGCGGCCACTGTTGGGCGCGACCGACGATGAAACGGGTGGACTCGAGGGCCACTCTGATTGTCAGCCCGCGCTCTATTAGCCATCAATGGCAGGACGAGATCACCAAACATGTCGACTGCACTGATCTCAACGTTTATGTCTACGAAGGCGTCAAGTCTGCGGAAGGTTTGTCATTGTTTTGTTTACGACTCCGCGCCACCACTGGAACTGTTGCTTAACAACGGTGTTTGTATCTCAACGTTCCGCAGGTTATGTCCAGCCGTTTGATTTGGCCGACAACGACATAGTGCTGACCACATACGAGACGCTACGGTCGGAGATTGATTTTGTCGATTTGCATCACTCGAATCGGTTCCGTAACCCGAAACGATTCAACGCCACGCCATCGCCGCTGCTGTCGATCAATTGGTGGCGCGTGTGTCTGGACGAGGCGCAGATGGTGGAGTCGGCGTCGGCTAAGACAGCGCAAATGGCCCACAGGCTCTGGGGTCAGCACCGGTGGGCCATCACCGGCACACCCGTCCAGCGCTCTGTCGACGACCTCTACGGCCTGTTACTCTTTATTGGCGAAGAGCCCTTCCATGAGCGACACTATTGGGACAAAATGCTGTATTACCCGTACGCTACCGGTCAGTATCTCTTCGGTGGTAGCATTCATTTAAGCGACTAATTGATAACTTATGGTTCAATTCTTTAGGCAATTATCAGCCAATGGTAGAGGCGTTGAGCAAATGCTTTTGGCGCACATCCAAACAGGAAGTGTGGGATCAGTTGGGAATACCGGCCCAGACGTCGACGATTGCGAGATTACAGTTCTCGCCGGTGGAGCAACACTTCTACTCCAGACAGCACTCGGAGTGTAAGCAAAAGTTTACCGAAAAAATGGTCCGCTTTTCCGATTTGGACGTAAAGCTCAAAGAGTTGGACAAAAAGACGGCCAATATTGTGATGAAACCGATGCTCAGTCTTCGACAGGTATACCGATAATTCACTCACGAGTTGTTGATTATCTGTTTTTGGGATCTAATTATTGTTACGATTGTTGTGCGCGAAGGCTTGCTGTCACCCGCAGGCGGTTCGGGGAAAGTTTGTGCCCATCTCTAAGAAGACACTAACCATGGATGAGCTGCTGAAGGATATGATCAAAAATACCCAATACGAGTGTGAAGAGGAACACAGGAAGATTATCTCTTCTGTCAACGGAATGGCCGCCATTCATATCATTGAAGTAATGGTTAATTCAAATGTAGTTATAATTCAATTTATTAATTGATAATCTTTTTGCCAAATCTAACAGAAAGACTACGAGAAGGCCATCGAGTTCTATAGGCGGGCATTGAATTCAATTGAATCATACAAAGCCAAAGACCTGTTCCGTACGGACAAACTACAGCTGATCCATACGTTGCATAA